CCCAATAAATTTTAACATTCAAGTCAAAGTACTCAATAAATACTTATTCTTAAATTGACCTACATATAGTACTTGAATTTTGGAGTATTCTAAAAAGCAGATGCTCCACAACTAATCTATAAGCCTAGGGAAATCTGCAGAATGTGAACTTTCATAATTTGCCATTTTCAAGTAAGTCCTTCCTAACATACCCTGAAACACCCTGCAAGGCTTACACTCTAAATTAGCTCTAGAGAGCGTGCAAAGAAATTCAGAGACACTACAGTTTTTGGTCCTTCTGACAAAATAAGGTCAATCAGTGTTACCAATAGAACCACCCTATGTTCACCTACACTACCATTTCCTTTCTTAGTTAAATATACAGTACTCACTCACTTTTTTTTAATGAGGAAGGACTAATTAGTCCAATTTCTTTGTAGCAATATTAGCAGGGTGAAATTAGTACTTTAAACTTTTTAAAAATTATATAAAATAGGACTTTTAAATAAAATTGATATATTTACAAACTGCTGTCACTACAGGTTATAACCATAGGTGAAAATAAGAAAACTATCCAAACAGGGTTTCATCGTTGCTTATTACAAAAGCAAACAAGTTACCAGCAGAGGGCACCCACAAAAGGGGGGAAGAGCTGGCCATAGCCTTGAAGAGAAATGCACTTAGAAAACCACTATGCATATCTTACTTTAAAAACAGAATGTTTTAATAGAACTCTAAATAAAGCTAGCATAATGTGTATTAGTTTACAAAAAGTAAAGCTTAAACCTATATTATGTTTGAAAACTAATATAAAACTTATCTTAGAGGCATGAATTTGACAACTTAAAAGAGCTATTTAAAGCTACGTGTCACACATACTAGATTTCATTCTCGGAACTATTAACATTTTAGGCCAGATACTTCTTCGGTGTGGAAGCTTTCCTGTGCATGGCAGCAAGTTTAGCTACATTACAGGTCTCTACCCTATCAATGCTACCAGCAGGCCTCCCTCACCAAGTTCAAATAACCACAAATGCCCCCAGATGTTGCTACATGTTCCCTGAAGGACAAAGGCACCAGCCCATCCCTCATTGATAAGTACTAATATAAAAATCAGACAAATAGCAGCTTACAACATTACACAGGCTTTTCTTACCCTGCTCTTCTATATTGGTTTAGTATTAGACTTTTTTCACTGTATAATCTAAATACCTTATTTTGCAAGTAGAATGAATTCTACAATTAACATGGAAAAACAAAGCAGAGAAATTGATAAACCTTGGTCAATACCCCCAGCTCAAAGCACTACAGATGAAACAAATGGATCCAATTGTGAATTCACTTTCCTTACCAAGAAACCGTTTCATCAAAGGGGATAATGCAGTACCTGAACTGAATTACGCATGCCACCTTAACAAAAGTAAACAGATTTCAAAAGAACTGGAGCTGAGAAAAAGTATTTCTTGCCATATTTTTTATGAGTATATTATGTGCAATAGGTACTCAATATATATTCGCTAACTTGATCTCTACAACTACTTGTGGTTTTTTTAGGATAATTTTTTTTTTTCCTTATACTAAATTCTACCTTGGGAAAACCCATTTCAAGGATTATGTTTTCATAAAATGTGATCTCTATACTATAAAATGTATTTCCAGCCAACTTGCTATGAGTTTTTAATAATTTCATCCCAGTAACAAGTTATGTCATTACTTTTTTTTCTTGGTACCGGGGATCAAACTCGGGTTCTTGTGCTTGCGCAGCAGGCGGCTGACCCCTGAGCTAAATCCCGGGCCCTATGTCATTACTTTTTGAAACACTTTGGTGGACCTTCATCAAAGATAAAATCTTCAGAAGTCTAGGTGACTGTCATGAGCATATCTTTAATTATAAACATGCTCTATGTATTATTAGTAATTCTTGTTTTGTTTTATTTTGTTGTTTTTGAGACAGGGTCTAGCTTGTAGTTCAACCTGACCTTGAACTCATTATATAGCCCAAACTGGCCTGGAACTCATCATGATCCTCCTGCTTCAGCCTCCTGAGTGCTGGGATTACAGGCGTGCACCACCACACCAGGCCATGCCTAATTCTATACTGTAACTCTGCCATTAAGTTGCTATTAGTGGGCTAAATTCAAATTTTGGTATACTGATAAATCCGAATTGATGTACATTAGCATTTTCTTGGTTTGAAAAACTGCTAATCTTTCACTTTAATAAGGTAATACAAGCTATGGTAGAAATTTCACTTAACTTCCTTTCAGAAAATTTAAATCCAAATCCCCCCACTTCCTAGGTATCCTTAGAAGAGAACCGCTCAGTGGCCATTTTTATCTATAAAATGAAAGACATAATGACTACCCTCCTTATCTACTCATAGTGTAATTCACTGCAAATACTAAGTCACTGAAAATACGGTATTCCTTGGTGTAAATGTGAGATGCTTTTCCTTCCAGTCCTTATTCTGGGGTTTTGGAGACAGACAAGGCCTCATGGTCCATCCCAGGCAGCCTTGAAGCTGCCATGCTCCTCCCTGGGCCTCCTGAGGGCTGGGGTTCCAAGCATGTGCCACCAAGCCCAGCTGTCCATTTTCTTTCAATGTAGGAATACTGGCAACAATTCCAGATATGAAATGTCTATGGCCTTTCTACTTTTCTTTCCAACTACATTATTTGCCAATCAGAACCTAATAGTAGCAGTGAAATCTCATCCTTCTTAATTTTTTTACAATAACAGAATTGACATTTTTAGTCAATCCTATTAAATTGTTAAATTCTCTTGCCTTTCTTATAGTTGAACAATAAATATCATGAACTACAGCTGTCAGTTTCCTCAGAGACTCATGTAACTTGGGTGGCAAGTAATAATCTCAAATACCTGTCCCCAGGTGGCTAAACTATGTGAGAAAATGTCAGTCTCAAAGTTCACAGGCAATAGTACTTCCCAGAACCCAGCCTAGATTAGCAGAAATCACAAGCAGAGTTACGAGTTTAAGTTTATAAACATTTTCTACCTTCCCCACAAACAATGGATTAATTGTTGGCTTTGTTTGTTCAGGAATTAGACTGCATTTTAACAATTTTGAGCAAAAAGTTTCCTAACCTATTTCATCACATTCATGCATTCATGACCTCATGTTACATGCATTCGTATAGCACTCATGACCTCTGATAGGAAACAGAGCATAATGGAATTTCTCAGATTGTCAGAGAAGATGAAGGACAATTCTGCTAAAATCATCTTCCAAATCCCGGGAAAACTTACATGCTTAATCTGCATTCTATTAAAAGTTCTCTTTATACCTGATTTAAATGGTAGAGTATGCCAAGTAAGCTTGGATTTGGAATACAGATGGAAATGGATGAACTATTCTTTCTTCCTCAAAGAAAAAACTAAAACTATAGGATAGCACAGAACTGTCAGAACTAAATATGGTATATACAGAGTTTTACACAGGAGGTCAACTTTAATTAGATTGTTCTCTTTTACTAATGCAAATTCTTAAACTTGGAAACCAAATAAAAGTTTATTTAAATCAAAGATTTGCAAATAGACATTATTTCTTCATTTTTTTTTTTGGTACTACTAAAAATATTTGACATATCCTTATGAACAGTAATCTAACCAAGCCACAAAGTTCTAAGTGCATATTTCCCCAAGGCCACTCCTGCCTCAGAATCCATCTCAATGTAAAGCATTTCTTTAAGACATCACACAGGGTAGACCTTAACAGCACAGTTTTGACCTGTCCTAGATTCCACAGCTTGGGACTTAGTTCTTAGAAAGATCTGGGAAGTTCTTCAGGACAGATTTTTTTTAATTGGTACATTAGAATAAAAATAATGGGATTAGTTTAGCACAACTCGAGGTAAAGAGGTCTAAGAAATAATCTAAGAACACACGGCTGTTTCATATAAAAAGTGATATATTTATTTCTGATGATAAAATTTAACCTGAAGATTTAGATTATTCATGAAATATGCTAATAATTACCTTCTGAAAATGAGCTAACAAGACAATTATCCCGCAGTTCTTTGGGATTAAATAAATCCTTATCATATTGGGATAATTTGAGTCAAGTGCTGCCAGATGCAGTAGGAAATCTACCTGACTTCTCAAAAATCTCTTCCAGAACTCTATTGTACCAGTTTGCTCTTGGCTTTTATTTTTACTTTGCTAATTTTCATAATACTAACATTCTAAAATTACAGTAATCTTGAAAATCTTATTAATCAAATTGTATTTAAAAGAAAAAAGACAAATTTTCTTGAGTACATTAAAAATGGATCACAGGATAAGGGTATGTACGGACTGACTAGTACTTTTATATAATTGCATCTTAGGCAAAAAATGAGCTTTTAAAAATGCATCAGGTAACTACAGTTTCTTCATTACTTCAAAGTTAAGGAGAAAATACTAAGTTTAAATAACAACAACAACCAACCATCAAATGATTACACTTCACCAGTATATTCAATCTAACTTCTATATGTGACATCAAAATTCAAACAAACCCATACAAACAAAAGCCACAATCAAAGGAATGACCTCTAGGTACACAGAAAATGAAAATCAACATTTTCACCCTCTTACAAAACTTTCAAATACCGCCAGGTGTGGTGGTACATGCCTGTGATCCTAGTACTTGGGAGGCTGAGGCAGGAGGATAACTGCAAGTTCAAGGCCAGCTTGGGCTACTTAGTGACTCCAGGGCCAGCCTGACTACACAGTGAGACCGTGCCTCAGAAAAAAAAAAACCCAAAACTTTCAAATACTGTTCCAATCCAACTGTACATACACTGCTAAGAGTGAACTGCATGTACCTTCACATTCTCCTGAAAGAAGAAGGGCTCCCCATATCTACAATTACATGTAACTTCAGTTGAAGTCTTGAAACTCAAGGACATTTCAGATAACTCAGTAACTTCCCCTAGGATTACTAAAAAGAACTCAGGAAAATGATCAGAGAAACCTTTTTTGGTCCTGCACAAGTAAAATGTATATTAAAACAGATTTACCTCTATTGTAGGATCATATTCATCCACAAAGTGATTCTGAATTAGCTGTATCGTCAAGGCACTCTTGCCTACGCCACCAGCTCCAACTACCACAAGTTTATATTCAGTCATTTTCAGCAGGCCTTATAACAAAAATAATGAAAATGTTACTCAATTAGAACATGTACCACACATGAGGTTAATACACTGTCAAATACTCTACTAATACCTTTTGACACAAATTCCCCTTTACTTGGAAAATTGTAAGGTATGCTGAAATTCTATGATGAAAACCTCAGCTGACTACCGATATGTACTGTAATGAATTGTACTTCATTTACAAACTCCCTCATCAACATTTAAGAAAAAGGCACAGAGAACACAGCCAGATCTTTATCTTATATTCAAGTTGTTCTATCTACTAGCTTTCTGCAGCAGCTAATGGCTCTCAAAGGAACATATCATGACTTCACTCAGTACAAGAGTCTCCCACGGTGCTTTATACCCTACAGGCACACTGACACAAACTTTTTGACAGCTATCCCCACTCCTATCCTTGCAGTATTCTTAGCTGATTCAGGCTTTTAAGAGTTAGAAGTTGATATGCTAAGAGTATCTTTGTTGGAGCTATGGAAACTTCTTTTGTGAGACAGGGTCTCATTATGTATTCAGGTAGGCCTTGAACTCACTATGTAGCCCAGGCTGGCCTCAAACTTGCAGCAATCCTCTTCCTCAGCCTCCCAAGCATTGGAATTACAGGCATGCACTAGCATGCCTGACTGGAAAATTTTTTTAAAACATCATCATAGTTCTTCTGGAGAGGTAGCAAGAATTACATGGGGGGGTCTAGGATCAAAGTTGGACTTTGTCAAAGAGAAAATGCCTGCTAGGAAAAACAAAGGTAAGAACTCAGAAACCCTTGAGAATTTTAGATTAACTATTCAGTATAGGTGATTTGGTCATCAGTCACAATATATATTCCTACATTTGTGCTGCTAAACACCCCACTGTACAAGAAAAATATAATGAAATTTAGAAATAAGTACTTTTAGTAAGAAAAAATTTTGAAGATATAAGTGTGCATTTCTGAGTAATCTACCTGACTTGCTTCTCATACGTCATTTCTCAACAGGTGCAATAAATATGGACAATTTATGCAGTTAACAATCACAAAAGAGAAAATGAAATCTGATAGTTTTTACTCAGCTACTTAAAACTTTTTTGAAATAAAACGAATACATTTAATTTTATTCTTTTCCTTCATGGAACAAATAAGGAGCAAAATGCAGAAAGAATGTCACACCCACTGATCTGTAATAAGTAGTTCCAGATAGATGAATGTATATATATTGCAAAATACACTAAACTCATGAAGCATCCTTTTTATTGAAGACCAAGAATTATCCGGATGGGCACCAAGAAAAAATAAAGATTAATTTGTTCCAATGCACTGACCTCCTCACTCTACTCCTGAGCTTCCCCAGAAACAGCACTACGCGCTAGAAAACTACTGTACCACAGACCTGCAGTATGGCTCCTTACCCTGCTCAGTTTCATCTACCCTCAGGTGTTGCTTGTCTGGGGCCACAGTGAAGGCTACTGCACAAGTATCTTACCCTGTTTGGTATGCTTTATTTCAAATATAGGCCACAGCAAATGGAGATGATAAGAATGGAAATGAGAAGAATCATATGAAAATTTGTCTTTTAGCTCCCTGTGGGCCTTACCCTCCCCTAACAGTTTGAAAAGCTTGTAACAGCAATTCAGGAACCTCTTCTGGAGTTCCAAAAGGTCAAAATTATTTTTGTTATAATATTAAGATGTTCTTTAGCCTTTTCACTATCATTCTTTCACAACTGTCTGGTAGAGTTTTTCAGACTGTGTGATCACAATAGATTTAATGCAGTGCAGATATGACAATATAGATGTCTCCTATTAAAGCACATAATTAAACAGATTTGTTTTTTTTTGTTTTTTGGTACCAGGGATTGAACTTGGGTCCTTGCGCTTGCGCAGCCAGCAGCGAAACCACTGAGCTAAATCCCTGGCCCTTAAACAGATTTGTTAAAGTGTGAAACAATGCCACCCTTCTCACTGATTTTTTATTAAGTTACTTATTTAAAAATTATTCACATTATCAAATAACAAGCTTATTATTTCTAAATGAATAGTTTTTAAATTCTTTTTTCTAATATGGTACACACTGATAAGACCCCAAACAAATCAAGCATTTTTGAGACCTCAATAATTTTTAAGAATGTAAAGGAGTCCTCAAGACCAAAAATGTCTCCTAGCACCGGATATACTGTAGACAAATACTGTATTGGAGTTTAGTTGTACATGCATGTGTAATCAGAGACGCACACCTTCTGGTCTACTTATTTATGCAATGGTTGTTGCTATAGGGAAAATATTCTTTTTAAATCAAGAAATATTTAAATCCAGTAACAAGAAGGAACTGGGTTCCAAAGAAGTCTTGCAGAAGGAAGACTATAGGCCAGAAAGGGTTATTTTCATCAACAGTTACAAAAGGTGGTAAGGGGTACAGCCGGGACTAGAACTCAACAATTTTGTTAAGGGAAAAAAATTCAATTTTGTTATAAAACTCAATTACCATTTGCCATCCTTTAGATTGAATATGATTGTGGATGGCTACAGTCTCAAAGTAAACATTTTGATATCAAGCATATTTGATGTCTATAGGAGTCAGCATATTGGACCTTAGTCATTGAAAGCAAAGCGGTACCATTCATATGGTTAATTCTGAGATGATTATTATGAACAGATATTTTTCCTTTATGATTTTTAGATGATTTTCCATTACAAACATAACATACATTGAGTGAATTAGAAAACATCTTTGTATTTTTAATCCCTTGCTTTGCTGGGTATCAACGCTGGGTATCAAGACTGGCTTAAAACTGGCTGTAACACGCACAGGTCTAAGAGCATTTATTTTATATGCTTTGCTACCCGATAGCTACAATTAACTCCTTTTTAAAATCAAATTTAAAAAATCTGAAAGTGCTGTTTTAGGACAGGGAACAATTCTATAAGGGCGAGGGTAATATAGAAGAGATGGGGGAAGGACCAGAAAAAGCAAATTAAACTTCACACTATTTTAACTATTGCTGTCTGCATTTGACTATTGGAGGAAAAAAGCCCTGCTTCTGCTCTTTGGGTTTTTCTTCCTGTGTTTTAACTTGACAAAGCAAAACAGACCTTCTGGGATTAACTTTTTCCTTTTCACTGCAGGTCACAGGCTTTACGTGTAGGGTGTTGGCCACCTGCTCTTCCACCACCGTCTCTACCTCCACCTCCTCCTTTGTGGCCACAGCAATGTCACAGCTCACACAAGGGGGAGGGGAGCAGTCAGGAACTCGGCGGCTGAGGCTGTTCTCCCCCCAAACACAATAACCTTGCACAGTGGTCTCTAAGCGCTTTCGGATGCTCTTCCCCGAGCGTGACCTTCCCTCTGACCCGTGCGTCCTCCCCCACACTAGGAAGGACCACTGTCCGTCCGGCCTGCGCTCCAGGGAGAAGTTTACACCCGGTCCCAGGGATGCTGGATGCAGCGGAGCAAGCAGCGGCCGGGCGCCGGCGGGCGGGGAAGGTGCGGGAGCGGCGACGCGGAGCCCGGGGCGTCGGGGGGGAGGGGAGGCGGAGGCGGTGCCCCCACGCCCGGCCGCGGCCCGCGGGAGGAGGAAGGAAGGGGCTCCCCGTCCAGGAAGCGGCACCGCGCGGCCGCCTCCAGCCTCGCCCTCCCCAGCCCCGCGTCGCTGGTCCCGCGCCGCCCCCCGCGGACTCCCCGGCCCGCCCCGCTCGGCCCGCCCGCGCCCCCGCCGCGGCCGCCACCCGCTCCCCCGAACCCCCAATTCATTCACTCGCGCGGGCCCCACCCGGCGCCGGAGGAGGGTCGCCACCGCGACCGGGCCCAGGAGGGGCGGTGCGCGCCCTACCTCTCTCCCGCACCTGGGAGCCCCCAAGCCTCTGGCCCCCGCCGCCGCTGCCCTCAGTGCCCGCGTCGCGCTCGCTCCCGGTCCGAAATGGCGGGGGCCGGGAGGACTGGCCGAGAAGCCGCCGCCACCACCACCGCTGCTGCCCCTGCCACCGTCGCTGCTGCCTCCGCCGCCGCGGCCGACGCCTAGGGAAGTCGAGCTCCGAGCGCACCGATGAGTTCGGGGCCGGGCGGCCACCGAGGGCAGAGATATCGATGCGTTCGGCGCTCGATTCCTCTCGAGAGGGTGGAGGGCGGTGTGGGAAGAGGGTGGGGAAGGAGCTGCGGGCGCCGCCGCCGCCGCGGAGGAGGAGGAGACCGAGGTGGAGGAGGAGCAGCACAGGCCGGCTCCCGGGAAGGGCTGGCCTGGGCGGCGGAGCCAGAGGAGCCGGGCGGCGCCTCGGCGGGGAGGAGGGGCTGCGGACACCCGCGGCCGCCCGTCCCCGGGCTGTCGCCGCAGGGCGTCCCGGAGCCGCCGCTGGGACCCGGCGCGACCCGGCAGGCTGACCCACGACACGTCGCCGTCCCGCCGCACCCCTGCGGGGCCCGCCGTCCCTGCGCCTGTGCACGTTCTTTTACTGTCGTCTACTGCACATAAATAAAGGATCTGTCACCAGATGAGCGAAGCCGCTGCGGTGGCTTCAGGGAGACCTGGCGGGCAGTTTTCCAGCCCCGGGACTTCTGGATGGTCTCCTGATTATCACCAGCCGTGACTGTAGGCTGGGAATCTAGTCCCAGGCCCAAAGGCGACAAACCCCTTTTTAGCTTTTTTTGGGGGGGGGGTGCCTTTTTTATTTTGTTATTTTTCTGGATATTTTTAAGCCATCATAGGGTCTCTCTAAAGAGGGACCTCACATGTACTCAGCACCCAGGAAAGCACAAGCAGAACGCATACTATTTTCAAATAGAAGCGACCTTGACAGTACAGACAGGAGAGTCATTTAAACATTAATTAGAAGTCTGAGATTAATCAGTTAATGTTCAAGGAGTTAAGACATTAAACAATGGGGCAATTAAACATGCTAGCTTTCCCAGAGTCTGCATCGATAAACTACCTAGAAAGGTCTACTGGGAGTTTTAAAAATTAAAGCCTGGCAACCCAGCACCGGCTCCAAACATGACCGAACACCTGTGTCTCTCCTTCCAGTTCTGTCCCTCTAGCCCACACCTTAAACCACCAATAATTGTTGTTTTAGATCCCAGCTATTATGTCTGCTCGCCAAGGCTTTACGTTAACTGTCACCCTCTTGTTTCTATCCTTTTATGGGCTGCGAGGCTTCCAGCCTCCCTCTCCCAGCACCAGGTGGGAGGCAGAAGAGACAAGTGGAAGACAGGGAAGGGAAAAGAATGTGCCTACTCTATGTCAAGAACTTGCTAAATGTTTTGCACATATCATCTTATTTAATTATCACAACAACCTCACGAGTTAGAATAATTTTCACTGTTTTACAGATAAAGGAATTTGGAGCGCTTTAAAAATGGGCCCAGTTCATACAGTTAAAATGTGAAAAGCCTTTATCATGTTCTTTGTGCTCCCAGCTCCATCGTGGCTTCCATCCCACTTAACATAAAAGCAAAATTCTGAAACTCCTGCTGGCACTTAATACCCCCTTTACTTGCCTGAACCCTTATCCTCGTGTTCGCCCTTTCTCCCTTCCACATACATGCTGGTTCCTGGCTATTCCTGGCTAGTACTTGAAAATCCCAGTAGCCTTCTTCCTCAGGAACCACCCATATGCTGCCTTGTCTGGTACTACATATGCAGAGTCTCCTCTGTCACCAATTCAAATCTTTTCTAAATGAGATCTTGCTCATAGGTCACCTTGAATGCTGCAACCCCTTCTCATACCCCTAAATAGTATAGCTCCTGCTTTATTTTTCTCCAGAGAACTTATCACCTTCTAATATAAATTTTGTGTTCTTATCTCTCTTGTCCTTCTCCCACTAGAATGAGAGCTCCATGAGGGCAGATAGTTTGGTCCATTTTACTTAGGAGTCAATTGTCGGTGCCCACCACAGTCTCTGATACAAATAAGGCCCTCAGTAAAGATTTATGGCACGTCAAAGGAGCAAATCTATGTACTGGTCTGAAACCTGGCGACTCTAAATTCTTAGAGTGAGTTAAGCCCCCTGTCAATCTGTCTTTACTGCCTTATAAAATCTGCTTTAAACTCAGGTCACTCTCTGATAAAACACACACACACACACACACACACACACACACACACACACGTGGGAATGGAAACCAGGACCTTGTGTATGTGGGGCAGGTGCTCTACCTCTAAGCTACATCTCTAGCCCTGATAAACGAAATCTTATGGAATGTAGAAAAGTATCTGGCAATAACAACAGACACAATGAATTTTTCTCGAATGAATTTGCAATTGTTTTAATGTTGCTATGTGGTTAGTCTTAAGTCACAGATGTATTTTGTGCAACTTCAAGTAATGATAAAGTCTTTTTTCTTTTACAGCTATAAATATAATGTTCTTCTTGTTCTTGGTAGCCCATAAATCTTGAAAGGACTATAATAAAGAGGAGAGAAAAGCTTTGAATAGCACTTTTATGCTGATTATAAAAATTCGGGCATTAGCAGAAACCTAGTCCATCCTCACTGTCTCAGTTGTCATCCAGGCTCATGATTCCCAAAGTGAGTCTTCATCCCACTGTGTGTTCGGTGCAGCCTACACTCCAGCTTCACCTCATACTCCGTAACATTTCCTTTCTTTCCTTAACACCAGCTTACAGCAGAGGCTTTCAACAGGGAAGTGCTTTCTGAATCACCTGCCATGCTTACAAAAATGCAAGTTCCGAGACACCCCCATTCAGATGTTCCATTCAGTGGAAGTCTTTTGTTTTGTTTTGCTTGGAGTCAGTACTGGAGAGTGAACCCAGCTAAATCCCCAGCCCTTTAAAAAATTTTACTCTGAAACAGGGTCTTACTAAATTGCTAAGTTGCCCAGGCTGGTCTCAAACTTGCAATCTCACATTTCAGCCTCCCAAATTGCTGGGATTACAACCATGTGAGCTACCATGCCTGGCAGAAATCTGCATTCTTAAAAAACAGATTGTGACCCTAAATCAGCAATTAGGCATCTGCACAAGGACAGAATCTCCTTGGGTCCCCTCTTCCATGCTCTACACCCAGGCCTGATCACAATGGGGAAAGGGAGAGGGAATAATTGAAACTATAAATGGGATTGCTGGAGGATACAACTGAACCTAAAGACAGCGATATGCACATGTGCACAACATTTGGAACTGCTTTATGAAAACCATACTGACCGTTCCTGGAACACCCTCTTCTAGAGAGAGAATCAAAGCCAAGCAATGAGTTCCCTGTGCTACTTCGGCTCTTATAAGGCATGAAATCCAGGGCACACTCAGAGCACTGCAAACCCTGAGGACTTACTTTAAAGAAATAAGAACACCTTGGAAAACTGTATCGTTAACCAGAGAACTGCTGTTCAACCCAGAAATCAGCAGTGCTTGTGATTCAGCAATGGGTCCTGATGCCTCACTCATCCTCTCTTTAGCAAGCTCCTATTGCCCAGAACTAGTAACTGCTCACGAATCAGCACCTCTCTGCTTCTTTTTCACACAGTTTCAGCTTCTACTGCTATCCACGCTTCCACTGTCCGCTGTCTGTAACTTACACTCAAAACTCTGCAAGGAGAGGATCTGTCTGTCATTCACTGTTCAACAGGAAGGGGCTTCATGGGACACTTTCTGGTGGGTGCTGGCTTTATGGGCTTTGTGTCCCAGTCATGAGTCCAGACACTTGTCGTCGGAGTAACAGGACAGGGAGCAGGGAATTTAAGCAGTAGGAGCCACCTATGGAAGCCTTCAGGGACCCTACTTCAGTACAACCCCAGTTTTTTCAGGGGGAAATTGCCACTCACGAATAGGTCCTAACTCACTTGCTCAGAACATTGTCTCTTGGGGACACTTATTTTATATGTTGTATTCCTGTTTTGCTTATCTTTTTTTCCTAAGTTTTAAATTCATGAACTTGCCTGGATCATTTAACTCTGAATTTCTGTACCTCTTACCATATGTAGGTCCTCTATAAATATTCATTGAACTGAATGAAATTGCAGCAAAACTTCAGTCGGGTCTCTTCATAGTCATTTCATTATCACTGAGCCAATTTCCTGGACATCTCCAAATAAATAGCCTGTTGTCATTGCAAATGCTCATCCAAAACCCAATTCCCCCAAACTAATTTCCTCCCTCAGGCCTTCCAATCTTGCCTCACTGACATCATAGAATTTCAAAACATTTAGATTTGAAAACTTACATTAATTTCAATCCCACTACTTACTTGTTATGACTTGGGTTTAAAATGTCCCCCAAAAGGCTGGTGGGTTGAAGGGTTGGCCCCTAATGGAGTGATTTTTCAGAGGTGGGGCTTTGGGGAAGTGACTGGATCATGAAAGCTCTGCCCTCATCAAAATCCACTGATGGGTTCACCATTGAATAGACTTTTGAGAGATGGCAGCAACTCGGAGGTGGGCCCTACTCGGAGGAAGTAGGTCCCTGCAGGTGTGCCCTGCAAGGTGTGTTTTGTCTCTTGTTTCTTCATCCCCTCTCCTCGCCTCCTTTCCTCTTCCTATCTCTTCCCCTCAGCTCCTCTTTTCCTCCTCCTTCTCCTTCTCCTCCCCTCCTGGTAGCTTTGCACCACCATGACTTTTCCCCATGATGTTTGGCCCTCACCACAGACTCAGAAACAATGGAACCAGCCAACCACAAACTGAAACTGTGAACTAAAAGAAATCTTTCTTGCTTTAAGTTGATTTTCTCAGGTATTTTGGCACAGTTATGAAAAGCTAACACACCACTTGAGTTGGTTACAGAATCTTTCATTATACTTTCAAAGTATTTTCTCATATCTGCCTTCTCTTCTTCATTCCTTCCTTCATAGCTACATTTCTGAATCAGCTTCCTCGCTAACTTCTCTCCCTCCCATCTTTCTTCTTTTGGGTCCAGGCCATATGCTATCCTAAATATTCCTAGTGCAGGTCTTTCATCATCAAACATTTGCCCTGCACCTACTCTATACAGGCTGCACACATACAGGGTATACATGTTACAAAGCAAAGAGTTACAAGCTAAGGACCTAATGAATACCTAAAGATAATAAATTCTTAGAAATTTAAGGGTGAAATGATTGCTGGTCTCAGCTAAGCCTTCACTAATACTGAATCTTGCACACAAATCTTTAATAATTTATATCTGGCTGAGTCAAGTCCAAATCTTT